AAAACATAATGCGACATTATTTTCGGGACAACCTAATACAAAGAAAACATCTATTTGATCTCTGAAAACTGAGAAAGCCACAGCTTACAAAGCACTAATGAATACTAGACGTCGCCATACTCTGACATACGATTAATTTACATTTGCTATTCCAATCACTGTAACTATAGGTAAGTCAAGCAGACTGCAACAGCGCGCAACAGGCTCTGATGTTCCATTGAGACTGCGTCTTATCGTGCCAGCGCTGTCAGTTGAACGATACTGGGTGCGTCCATGTTGTGCTGTCACGGTCTAGCAAGGTGCTGGCACACGGCCACTCTGGGCTAACTGAGCGCTGCCGCTCTTCTCATTCTACTACTTGCTACTTAGAAAAATATGAAGAATAGAAATAGAATAGAATATCTCTCTGAATATGAACTATGCAACGGCATCCAGTACCACCATCTACATTCAATCCACTTGATCGCACGCACTAATCTATGAGCATTTAAACAGAAGGAAACTGAGCTGACCTTTCAGGAGTCTTCAGCAACTTGAACATTCCCGGGCTTCGGTAAACGGAAGACTGAATAAGAAATTATTGAGAATCTAAAAGCTGATGCTGCAGCTATTTACATACCTGATCATGATTATGAGTGCGGTCACCAAGAGGGTTCAAGCGACCTGCAGCATCCCGTACCCTAGAAATGTTTCAATGATTTACACTGTATCTCACTCTTATAGATACCAACCTCGGTGGTGTGGGGTAAGAAGCATAAGCTATTCCAGAGGCACGCTGAGAGCGCTGTAAGAAGATTGGTTACAAACCAAACTTCACACTAAATACTAACCTCTTTAGCGGAATCCGTAGCCGTACCACGGGCCGGTTCGTTCAGATTTCCAGTCGTGACTTCTTTGAAAGTCATCGTATCGCCATATCTACTGCGATAAAGTCCGATACATGCCTTGGGAAATCCTGCGAAAGAAAAATTTGGGGTGAAAGAGGACTTTCAAAATACAAAGACAGACTTTTCCCTGCATATGCTGGGTAAGGCAATAGAAGTTCGTGTAGAGTTGGGTGCTTATCAACATTGATTCTCAACTCCTCTGGCGTTTTCAGCAATGATGAGTAGTCCTCTTGCATTTCTTTCATCGAAATCTAGTAATAGACTCTAGAAAAACAGAGATAACAGCAAGGTATAACTCACATAAGAAATAGTCAAGCTGTTCGTATCTATCGACTGCAAAGGCTTTCTTCTTCGAGATGGCTGCACAACCTCGAGATTGTCATTCAAAGGAGGCAGTTCTAGTGATGGAACTAAGGATTCTCTCTGAAGAACAATAAACATTAGCAGATTGATAGGGCTTGAAGAAATTACCCTACATCATTTTCTTCAGATGTGGAAATGGGTTTGCCGCTGTCCAAGCGCGGCTTTTTTGAAACAGGCTGCTCCTCGATCGGTGGCAGTGCATCAGCGACTGAGCGCTGCAAACGAAAAGAAAATGAATTTATGCGATATGTGTTCAAATTTGCACCTCGTTCGTGAGACTTTCGCGTCTTAATCCATGTCCAGCGTCAAGTACCGGCTGAGTACCAGCTCTGTTGATTAACATCATATGAGAAAATACCAAGAAACTCTGGGTGGTAATCTGATGATGCAAGGTACATAACTTACTGTTTTCCCAAGCGAGAGAGATTTTCGCTAATTTTTCTTTTGGATTATTATCAAATCTCAGAGAGATTTGATACACTGAGATACCGTGCACATGTACATAATTGCGTCTTATCTGCTCACTTCAATAAGATCGGACTGATATGACTACGACGTATCGAAAGACAATTGTTCTTCATCTCAGAAGTTTCGCGTGGGAATTGATTCTGAGACTCTGGACAAACCCAGAAGAATGATCGGAACTACTGCAACCAACATGATTCGTACTAGGTTGCACCAAAAGTTCTGTTTCACTATTCTTATAAATCATGAATCATTTCTTTCTTACTATGTCTATATGCACGGTTTTTATCTTTTCAAAAAATGGAAAAGCATGCGCTTCAAACAGCACCCCTAAAGCTTTCTAAGTGAGAGTGATTCCAGGAATGCTAAGAAGACTCTTTCTAAGTTTTTCATAGCTACACTAGTAAAAAACAAACCACTTTAAGACAT